TCTAGATTTCTGTCTGTAGGAACGGGATAAGGATGCAGTTGTTTTGGAATGTAGCACAATTCCTCATGGGTCCCCTTTTGTACCTCACACTTTGGGACCTGCTGGGAGTTGAGTTCACCTCTATTGAGACTTGGTCTAGAAGCCAAGAAGGCTGGTGGGTGTAGGCCCTGAGGAGGATTGGCAATGAAAGGAAATGACCTCAGGGGAGACCATTACAGGATCCTCAAGAAAAGCAGAGATAACCTCTTCAGACAGGAGGAGGAGAAGGGCTGCTTCTATTGACAAGGCAGACTCTGCACAATTTTGGAGTCTAATGTTCCAGCTTAATCAGCAACTGTATGTATGTGCCCATTCCAATTCTCAGGACTCCATTTCTTCTAAATCAATTTCATCACTTTCACCACTGTGTGGATGGGAATTCAATTTGTGTTGTAATTCAGCCACTTGCAGGAAGAGACTGTGAGTTAGGTTTTCAGAAATCTGAGCTCTGAAGCTACAGAAAATAACTTTATTTCAGGGAAGATATAGAAACTTCAGGTCAGTTATGGTGCTTGAGCTAAGCTGAGAATTTGACACACTGAGCTCATCTTTTTCTTTCCTCATTTAATCTTGTGCAATTAGGAGCAACTAGCTAATTTCATTACATTTGTTAGTTTGTCAAAAATGATCTAAAGTATCAAATACTTGGTCACTAAGAACGTTGGTTTTTATAAATGTTTGATTAGGAATATCCAATGGTGATATTTTGTATATCTCTATTACCACATCCTCTTGCCATGGACTATCATGCCCTCTTTAACACTGGAAATAGGGTCGCTGGCGCCTTTCAATTTAATCAGATTAGAGAACCAATTCCAGAAACCCCACAACCATTTCAGAAAACACATCAAAATTCTCTTCCTCTAGAACCATCTTTGGTACCAAAATCTGTATTAGAATTCTCCAGAGAAAGGGAACTTATATTTATAACATGAACATATATGTTTGTGCATCCATACATACAGTCATGCGTAGCTTAATGACAGGGATAAGTTCTGAGATACATTCTGAGAAATGCATTGTTAGGTGATTTCATCGTTGTGTGAACATCAAAGTATATTTATAAAGCTGGGTACCTGAGGGTACTCTAGGTATTAAACCAATTTGCTATTTTTTTCTGTTTAACTTGAGAGGTGACTCGGGTCTAGAGGATTTATGACCTTGTTTTCCAGAGGATTTGTGAGCTTGTTTTGCAGAAGAAAGAGAATGCCTTCAGGGAGGTTGTGATCATCTGTTGGCTGGCCCTCAGCAGCCGTCGGAAATCAGATTGCCCAGGGACTTATTGGGAGTGACCCCTTTGTTTCTTGGAAGCTTCTCCTTTAGCTCTATAACCGACCCCCCCTTTCTGTTCTTGGGGAGGCAGATTTGAGCAAACCTAGTCTCCTCCCTAGTCATTTTGGCCAATTTGAATAAATCTTTCTCCATCTCCAAGCACTGATGTCTGAGTGTTTGGCTTCCTGTGCATCAGGCACACAAACTTGAGATTAAGAGGTTCAGTATCAATATTGATGAGCCAGCCAGGAGACTTGTGCCCATGGCTGGATGGCCCCAGTGAGGGTTCGAGCAGTTGGTGGTCTCTAGAAGCTGCCTGGGTGTCTTTGCCCAGGGCACCTCCCCTGCCTCTCCCTGCTTTCCCTGGTACTGGCCACCCTAGGTGCAATGCTTGCTTGGAGTGGAGAAATGCATTGGACTTTGGTCCTTGTGTGTGAGTGTGTGTTGTCTTGTATGTGAGTCTGTTGTCAGGTGAGTCACCATGACATGCACGGTCATGAATTCCCTGTCTCTCTATTTTCATTCTGTGTGAAAGGAGGGCCCCTCTTTTGGGAGGGTTCTAGGGGATTGTTGGACTTCACCTTCTGGTTTTGTCCTTCAGGAGTCGGTTTTGCATTTGCTTCGTGAGTCAATATGACACGCATAGTCATCAATTTCTGTCTCTTAATTTGCATTTTGATTGAAGGAAGGACCCCCATTTGGGAGAGATATGGAGGATTGTTGGACTTCACCATTTGTTTTTGTCCTGCAGGAGTGATATTCTGTCTTTGTGTGAATGAATTTGTCTTGTGGGTGTAAGTTTGTTGGTTTTATTGAAATGGGAATGTCTTCAGAGTTATCAGTGGTGGCTGTGGCACAGAGGGGAAGGTGGCGTGGAGGGGAAGGCAGTGCAGAAGGTGGAGTGGGGTGGTCTGGTGCTCCCTGCCCTCTCACGGCAGCAGCGGTGGCCTCAGCCATGGTAGTGATGGTGGCGGTAGGTGAGGGTAGGTGGGTACCTCTGTGCTTGGCCCAGCCTGGCTCAGCCCATGGACCATAAGCAGCAGCAGTGGCAGTGGTGGTAGAAGAGGCTCAGAGCCCACTTTGCTGTGGGCTGGACACCAGGCTGGAGCCAGAAGAAATATATCCATGGGTCAGAAATTTGTGGGTCTAGTGGGAGGGCCTTGCTGGGGACTGACCCTGGGTGGAATCCCAATGACCCTGACAATTAAGAAAAAATAGGACATTTTTGGGGTCTGCATCTGAAATTAAGAGAGGTCCAACAAGGCTCTGAGGAAAACCTCTCTTTTTCTAGAGGCTATGGTACTGCCTCAGGCAATAAACCCTGAGGCCATGGCAGTACAGTGGTTCTTAATACCTATTTCATATCTCAAAGTGCTCCAGACATCTGTAGAAAACCCCAAAAGTTGGCTATAGGTCCTGATACTAATTTTGCACATCTAGTAGAGGCTGCCTTTGGGGTGTTCAACAACCAAGATGAAAAAGAAGATGAAAAGGCAAACCACACTTCTAGCTGTGGCCCTCCAGACTGCTCAAGGTAACCTGAGGGAGAGGAGGAAGATGCCATGGGTGAGTGACCCTGGCCCCCACCCAGGGACCAGAAAGCCGCCAACAAAGCTGGGGACCAATTGTTATCGCCCAAGAGGGAGTTCGTCTGCCTGCCACAAAACATGCCAATAGTCAAGAGGCAGGGTGGTAGGAGAAAAAGGACTTTTTATTACAGCTTGCTAGCAAGAGGGAAGATGACTGACTCATGTCCAGAAGAGCCATCTTAAGGGGCACAAAACCTTACAGCAGTTATATAGGCCAGTGGGTTATAGGGGAGGGGTTAGGAATGTTGACCTTCTGCTGTTACAGACTGGGAGTGCCACACCAGATCTTTCAGTTTTCGTTGATGATGGCTATCAGTATAGACTCTCTGTTTGTGGGTCATCACATTCATAAGGAACTCAAAAGAACAAAGTTATCATCTTATCGCAGCTGAGAGGTACATGAACAAGCAGAGATCATAAAATCGACACAGCAGTTAGATCTCCTGGAGGGTGCCTATCCAGTGGGGTTAGTTTGTCAGAGGTCATTCAAAGTTACAATAGGGTTTCTTTTCTACAAGGGCTTCCTTCATGTCAACCTTGTCTTGAGACAGTATCAATTCCCCCGTTGCTGTTTAGTCCCTCGATCTTGAGGGATATCCTGTTGTTCCATATTATTGAACCAGTCTCTTAGTAAGATGGTGATGCAGGTGGGCTCCCAAAGTTAGGCCTATATTGTGGAAGCAAGTAGCCAGGTAATTAATAAGACAAAAAGGAAAACAAAGTTAATGGTGGGAGCAAATTACAAACCAGTTTCTGAGTCCACAGGGCAGCCAATCAAAAAGATTTCTAGATGCAGAGTCAAAGCATCTTTTGCAGCTTGAAATGTCTCTGATGATGTCATTGGGTATTCAGGTACCTTTCTGAGTGGCTTACATTAGCAACAGACATGAATCTCTCTTAAGTTTATATCAAGTCCACCAGCTTCAGTTTGCAAGGCTTCAGGGGAAAAAAAGGGCAGGTTCACTTCTCAATGATTCCAAATACAAATAATGGGAAAAAAATGAAAATATTAGTTTGGAGATTTGTAGCCAGATATTTCAGGAGACTAGAAGAATTCAGGATCCAGTCCAGTTAACAGATAGAAAACAAAAAAACCTCAAAGACAATTAAGAGCAACATCCACAAATATGTATTATAGTTTCTATTGGAACATATATTTTTCCCTCTAAAATCACTCTCATTTTTCTAAAAGATAGCCAAGTTAAGACTAACTGGTTTGCAAAATAAGTCTAGTTGTAACATATTTGGCCCAATTATTTACATAAGTACAGCAAGAATAGCAATTGATCATATAGACTTTTTAAAATTTGCTTTGTTGGAACTTTTTATAAGGAATCTCAGATTGAACTTTAAAGGCCTCTCAAGAAAAACCAAGCCAAGGACTTTGTCATCAGACTTTGCCTGCAATACCTACAGACTTGGGTGAATTCCTCCCTTCTGGGTGTCCCCCAAAATATTTCAAGTTTCCTTGCACCTGCCAGATAAGTGACATTCCTTACTTATCCAGTAAGTGCTGCTTGGAACACTGAACATAAGGTACCAGGCCAATATTTTCACATGGCTTTATTCCGTAAAGGCCCATCTTTGTCTCTCAAAAGCTATCTTGTCATATCTGAGTCTATATGTTTTTCTCAAATATAATATTCCAGTCAAAAGCCTTCGTAATATCCAATTGTGTCCTGTTATAAGGAGAACAGATTCTTGTTGAACTTATGCAAATAACTATATTGCCATGAAAATAACAATACTCACTAAGAGTTTCCAAATTCTCGAGGGATCAGGTAGGGAGAAAAAGACAAACATTTCAATTCTGCTTACAAATGTATAATTTACCAAATTGCCATAAGTCATAGTTAGCTCAGGAGAAAAGAGAAAAAGTTTTCCTTAAATCTGAAGAAACAAAACATTAAAAATTCAGCACTATTTCAAAGTTATAAAAATTATAATCATCCCCATCAGTTCACTCAGTCCAGTGTAATCAATTCTTCATCTTAATCTTCTGTTAGCAGTTTCACAAAGTTATCAGTTTTTCTGTTAGAGTTCTGTTATTTCTTACCCAGTTCAGTGTTATGATCTGAAAGTTTATCAGAAACCTGTATTCCAGAGTAAATGTCAGAGTCCTTTCCATGAATTTCTCTGAAGATGAAATATATTTTTCAAAAGCATCAGAGCAAAGCAATAATAACTGTAAACAACAAGACCCTAAAATGACAATTGACAAATTTGGTTAATTTTGTGACATTTACAATACTTTAAAATAATAACCAGAATTCTGACTGATTGATAACGAGGACAGATCAGAATTTCAGTAATGTTATACAATTTCAAAACACCTATATCAATAACCTTCACCCACACAATATCACCTAAGAAGGTTTATCATCACTTATTTGACAATGCTTCACATGTAATTTAACATACCGAATAAGCCTAGTAAGTTTAGTATCTTCCTCCTTATAGGAAGAGAGTAAATTTATTTGAGAAGTCCCAGGGTCCTTTGAAAATTCTCAAAGAAAAAAAGTCAAAAGAAAGACTTTATTTAAGATATGAATTTTGGGAAGCTTGTCAAAAATGTCAAAAGGTTTTAAAACACTTGATTAAATAGGAAACAACACTGAATGTGAAACAATGCTCAGTTATCCATTCAAAGTGACAACAGAAAACAGTCAAGGGCTGTTTTGAGTTAAAACAGTCAAAAAACCTTAATAGAGACACCTCAGTCCTTTTGAACAGAGGAAATTATTTAAACATAGTTTTTCTGTCTTTTAAGTAGCTTTACTCAAAGGTAAAGAAAAATCGTTTATAACCTCTTTATCAAGTTCAAGAAAATTATCCTTTTAAGGGAAAGAAGACCACATTTTAATTTTGTACCAGCTTACTTTTGATATTAAAATGTATTTACTTAATTAAATTCGTTTTAATCTCAGCCAGCTTGACCATGCATAAAACTCTTTTCCCAGAATTTCTCTTCCGCAAACCTTCTATAACTTTCTTTTTACCTTCAGAATTTGTCCCCTGCCTTCCTTTCTTCCCTTCTAGCACTTTGGGACAAATTTATCTTTCCTAACCAACCAAACAAAATATTTCCATTCTTTATACCTTCTTTACTATATACATCTTACTTTCCTTGTATACAGAGCTGTTTTCCTTATTAATTTTTAGTAACTTTAATCACATATATTAATTAGAATTTTTTAACTCTTATAGACTTTGACTTCTAAGTAAAAACTAAGTAAGTAGTTATAAACTTTCTTTTATATTAGCATTCTGTGGCTTGGCAAATTTATTTCTTGGCAAATTATTGGCAAACACTTCTCATAATTTCTGGAAATGTTACTTTTTAGTAATCTTTCAATAATCTTTCAATAGACCCAAAACACCTTTTAGTTTTTCTGTAATAAGCCAAAAGTAGATAAACTTACATATGTTTAGCAATAATGTTTCAGTATTTTATCTTATTTGAAAATGACCCAGATACTCAACAAATTTTATCACGAACTCTAAAGTGTTAAGTTACCAAAAGGAATTTGGAAGCTGTTTTTTCAAGTATACAGACCATAAAACATAATTATTGTACCCAAAACTCTTACACATTTTCATCTATCTAAATCATTTGTTTCCAACAATTGTCAATCAAACCAATAAACTTAAACCAGCTTTCATTTACCAAAGATTAATTTATATCGTGTTAACTTGAAAGACATTTGGGTTAACTGCATTTAGAAATAATTTTTGCAAGCGCTTAGTTCAAGCTAAGTGAATAGAGCTCTTAATTTTGACCATACCATCTGGAGGTAAAATATCACGTATATATAACATATAGACGCACACACACAGAGACTGCACAGCTATTACTGCCATGAATCAGGTACAAGACTCCCTAGTTATGAATCCAAATTTTTGTTTTAAGCCTTTTTACTAATATTTGTGGGAAAGACACTCAAGATGCTAGATTTTTGGCTAGGCATGCTCCTAGCCATTTTTTGGCCTTTTTGCTCTTTTTCTTCTTCAGTCTTAGGAATAGGTGATGAGCTAGCTAACACTTCCCAGAGAGGTGCGGCGATAATGCTTTTTGAGATAAAGGAACTGGGTGGACTCTGAACTGCCTCTGGAGCTGCTTCTCCAGTCTCGCAAGGATTTTTTTTTTCAGGACAATTGCTCTTAATTTCTCAGAAATTGGGTTGTAACTGAAATGACATTATAGGTTGATCTACCTGTCCAACTACATCACAAAGGCACAGAGAAACCACTCAAGTTTTCTCCAAGATGGAGTTTCTGGGGCATAACCCATCCAATTGAAATTGTTTCCACTTAGTTAAAATGCACCCAAGGGGTGAGTCTCCAGGGATGCTTGGGGTGTTCCCCATGGTGGTAAAGCTCTGTCAGTGTCCAACTGACAACAGGCCAGAGAAGGGTGCAGAGCTTGACTGTGAGTGTCAATATAGCTAGAAGATTTAGTCAAGTTCCACTCAGCCCAGGCACTTAGTCCCTGAGCCAGCACAAGGCAAGCCAGGAAAGCAAGAGGCAAAAGCCTGGAGCTGGCTGGGGGCTGGAGCTCTCAACACCGGGGTTGAGAGTTAAGGCCCTGGCAAAGGTTGTCAAGTTTTTGATTTTACAGAAGGTCCAGGTTCTGCTCAGGTCCAGCCTGAACTTAACCTCAACTTGGTGACAACAGAGGAGGTGATGAACAAAACAGGAAAAGAAGGGAAGAGGTGATCAGGCCTCACCCTCACAGCTTCTTCCCAAGAGTTGTCAAGATAAAGGTCATACAAACAGCAGTTCCCATGCTGGGGCACACAACCCTGGCAGGACAGTATACAGAATAAATTACACGTCTGCTGTCCCCATAACTGACTCAGTAGGCACCTAAAATACTCAACTGGTTCTTGACAGGAGACAAAACAGTGTTCCAGATTTCAGTCAAATGACCCAGTGCCAACCTGGAATCACTCCAGGTGCCTAAACAGATTAACAGAAACCAGAAACCAGAACTGTCAAGACAGGGCACCACTCTTGGATTTGCTGGGGTGATCAGGCCTGGAAACCAGAAGAGAGCTCCCAGGTGTAGAGCCTTTGACTCTTTAAGATTTCTTTGTGTCTCAGTTTGAAAGCTCAAAAGGAGCCCAAAGTGGCCACTGTAACTTTAAATTATCCTGGGTTATCTTGCCAGCTGTTTACAGTTATCTCCATTTAAGGGGGCTTTTCCTAAGGTGGCCGTAACAAACAAGGTAATTTCTAAAGAGAGTTTGATATGATCACCGAGAAACTCAGTCCCCAAACAGCCAATTTTAAGCTATTTACCGACACAGACACGGACACGGACACAGAAAAACCAGACTCCAGCGAACTAGTTTCCAGATTTAGTTGGAATAAAGTCCTACAACTGTCCCCACTACAAGTGCACATCCAGATGGTCCTATTGGACCCTAAATGGCCCTGCCATAAACAGAAGAACCCCAGATGGAGGGGAAGGAAGTTCATGATCATCCTCAAGGTGACTTACCCTATTCCAGATTGACCCCGTTGACTCACCAGATGTAGCCATTTCTCTTCCTACCACAATCAGCGTTAGGAAACAGCTGGTGACAGTACAAGAAAGTAGGAAGGGCAGTCCCCCAAGACAAAGAGAGCCTTGGCAGCCACTAGGGACTTACCCAACAGGCTGCCTGTCCGAGGTTGGCTGGCCACGAGCAGGACTTAATGTCCCAACTGGGGTCCCAAATTGTTACTGCTCAAAAGAGTGTTTGTCTGCCCCCTGCAAGACATGCCAATAGTCAAGGGGCAAGGTGGTAGGAGAAAAAGGACTTTTTATTACAGCTTGTTAGCAAGAGGAAAGATGGCTGACTAATGTCCAAAAGAACCATCTTAAGGGGGCACAAAATCTTACAGCAGTTATATAGGCCAGTGGGTTATAGGGGAGGGGTTAGGAATGTTGACCTTCTGCTGTTACAGACTGGGATCTTTCAGTTTTCATTGATGATGGCTATCAGCATAGACTCTCTGTTCAGGGGTCATCACATTCCTAAAGGACTCAAAAGAACAAAGTTATCATCTTATCACAGCTGGGAAGTACATGTGCCAGCAGGGGTCATAAAATCTACATAGCAGTTAGATCTCCCTGAGGGTGCATATCCAGCTGGGTTAGTTTGTCAGAGGTCATTCAAAGTTACAATGGGGTTTGTTTTCTACAAGGGCTTCCCTCATGTCAACCTTGTCTTGAGCTGGTGTTATTATCAGTGTGCGTACTGCAAATGGGAAGGGCATTGGTGGCAGGACTGTCTGGACAGTCCCCAGGGAGGGAAGGGATGGAACAGGACCAAGCCATGGCACCTTCCCTTGACTACAGATGAGATGTTACAGTGCCATGAGGCTCCCCAGTTGGCTCTAGGAGCCTTGAGTGACCATGGCAGTAGGAGGAGAGCATGTTGAATTCTTGCTTAATACTGAAGCCAAATTCTCCTTGCTGAACACCCAAAAAGGGAAACTTTTCTAAAGGAAAGTGTGACATAAAAGGGGTATCAGGAAAAGGAGAGACCAAAAGGTCTCTGGAGCACTTGACCTGTGGAATAGAATCAAAATGCTGAAGCATTCTTTTCTGTATGTACCAGAATGCCCTGTTCCCCCTCTAGGGAGGGACATGATATCTAAATTAGGGGCCTCATTAAACTGGGACAAGTCCATAAAGTCGGGGAGTTGAGCTCATGGAAGGCCAATTAACTCAGAAGTATGGGCACAAGGACAGGTGGGATGAGCAGCCAGAGCCACGCCAGTACAGGTAAAATTGAAGCAGATAGATCACTAGCCCCGAGTGAAACAATACGCCTTAAAGCCAGAAGCTGTAAGAGGAATATTTCCTATAATCAATAGGCTTTTAGAACAGGGATTGATTGGGCCGTGGAGATTCCCATATGAAACACTCCCATTTTACCTGTTAAAAGGCTGGAAACAGGGGAAAATAGATTCGTTCAAGACCTTGCAGCTGTCAATGCCACACAATGCTGGATTTAGAAGATGCTTTTGAATCCTTATCCCCCACCATCCCTTAGGTGATGTCTGATCACCCTGCCCTGCCTTCAGCAGGAGTTCTGTTAAGTCAGTGTGATATTGTGATTTATAACAAGAAATATTTTCATTTCGTTTCTGGCACAGAACTCCTAAAACCCTTGTAATTTCCAAAATAAGAGCCATAGGAGTATCTTTTGTCATAATAATTACTTTTGTCCTCAATTCCTGAAATAAAGCCGGAGCAATAAAGGTGAAATGGGTGTCCTTTGTTATCCATAACAAGCTCCTTTCAACCACACCTGAATTTATGTTAATAAGGTTTCTTTTGGAAAGCCCCTGAGGGTGGGGGCTGGTGGCCAGGGGAACCAATTGTGTGATTAGAAGGATGGAACTTTCAGCCTCATCCCCCTCCCTACACCTCTGAGGTGGGGAGAGGGGCTGAAGATTGAGTTCAATATGGGGTTCAGAGAGCTTCTGGGTTGGTCAATACAGAGAGATTCAGGGAGAATGGCACACCCAGAGAGAGCTTGTGAGCTCCAAATCCCTCTCCCACGTATCTTGCTCTATGCATCTCTTCCATCTGGCTGCTAAGTCAAAGGTTTTCCTGAGTTCTGTGAGCTGCTCTATCAAAATTTTTTAATCAAACCCAAAGGAGTGGGGTCGTGGGGGCCTCTGGTCTGTGGCCAGTTGGTCAGAAGCACAGGCGACAATCTGGATTTGCAAATGGTATCAAAAATGGAGGCAAAGGGTAATCTGGGACCTGGTGCTATCTCCAGGTATATAGTGTCACAAATATAGAAAATGACTGTTAAATACTTAGAGTTGGAACTGTCAGAAGGACAGAGAAGTCTGCTCCCAGATAGGAGGGAATCAGTCGCTCAGAGTTGTGACTCCTACTAGCCGTCAACAATGGTAGGGATTTTTAGGAATGGCAGGCTTAAGTTGAATTTGGATACCCAACTTCAGATGAATCGTAAAACCTCTATATGAGGCCTTAAAGGGAGGAGACCTTGAGCCTTTGATGTGGACACGAGAGTGCCAGAAAGTGTTCAATAAAAATTATTAACTGCCCCAGCCTTGGTGTCACCGAGTAATTGCCCCGAGGAACTCAAGGGTGGGTTTGGAAGCATTTAACTGCTTTTCCAATTTTTTTTTCCTTTTGTCATGTTAAGGAGATGCAACCACCAACCACCCTGAACCAGACCAAGCCTCATCACAAGACCTACACCTAAAGAACTTTATTTTATTTTTAATGCTAAGATCCCTCTAGGAGGAGCTTAGGCCTCATTACCATAACCTGCAGTGTACGTGGAAGCATGTTTTTCAACTGAGCCTGCACAACCAAATGCTCATGTCTCCTTTTTTAATATTAATTCCCCATAGGAAATATAAGGCCCCTGCTTCCCTTTGTTCAGGGACACCATGACTTTGGAAATGATTCCATGTGACTATTATTTGCTACTGTGGGAGATCAAGATTTGGCCACCCTGAAATCTATCTCTTTACCTTGGTTGTTTTCTCTGAGGACATTTGACCTCCCCCACTAACTGCCTAAAGATTTTGACATGGTGGCTCCTTCCTGGAACAGATCTATCATGATGGCTATAAAGATAATGTAGGATGGAGATTACAATAGGAAAGACACCAACAAGCCCCTCTTATCGGAAGTTCTGTCTCTCTGGCCACATTCTCTGGATG